AAACTCGGCCCCCGGACCCCTCCTGGGAACCATCCTGGCCAGTTTTCCGAGGCGGACGCGGCCGTGGCGACGAGAAACCTCCAGGGCGAAAAACGCCGAGGAGGGCCGCGTTGTCTCGACCGGCCCTCCTCCGACTTGGGAGCTTCCTCGAGGCCTTTTCGAGGCCTCTCGGGCGCCTGTCGGCAGCCTTGTGGGGGCCTCTTGGAGGAACTTCTTTTCCCACATCGGGCCGACCCGTCCACGATCCAGTCCTCGACCGTGCGGAGGCCCGCCTAGGCAGGACAAGATCTTGGTCGCCATCCTGGATGGAGACCATCCTGAAAGCCATTCTGGAGGCCATCCTGCACGCCATCCTGGATGATAGCCTGGGCCCACAGGTCTAGGATGGCGTCCAAGATATCCAGCTGCCTGCGGCAAGTCGCGCCAGCGTGCCAGCCCAGCATTTTGGGTGGCGACTGCTCGAGGGGGCACTGGAGGGCGTCACGTGTGACACCTCGTGTCTCCAGGCTTTGGAGAGCCGTGACGAGTACGATGGGGATTATGATGATGATGATGATGATGATGATGATGATGATGATGATGATGATGATGATGATGATGGGAATGATGATTATGATGATGATGATTATGATGATGATGATGATGATGATGATGGGAATGATGGAGATGATTATGATGATGATGATGATGATGATGATGATGATGATGATGATGACGATGACGATGACGATGATGATGATAATGATGATGATGATGATGATGATGATGATGATGATGCTGATGATGATGATGATGATGCTGGCGTTGATGCTGATGCTGGTGCTGATGTTGCTGGTGATGGTGATGGAGATGGTGCTGATACTGGTGATGGTGATGGTGGTGATGATCATGCTGATGAGCATGATGATGCTGATGATGCTATGGCCGTCGAATAAAACCACGTGGGATACTCGCGCCCGTCGGCCGCGCGCGCGCGCGTCAAAGAACTTTCCAAAACCTTCATGGACGACACGTGGGCGCCATCATCGTCATCGGCGCGGTCAGCGTCGGCGCCGTCATTTACCTTGACGTCGTCAACGTCATCGTCACAACCGTCGCTGCAGTCATCCTCGTGTCTGCGGTCGTCGACGTCGCCATGACACATCGCACGCCGAGTCCCGAGTCACCGACTCGCGTTGAAGTGCCCGCGCGTCAGCGCGGCCTGTGAGACGCGTGGGGAATTCCCCAGCGGTCAGCGCCGCCGCGGCCGCGTCGGTCGCGCCAGACTAGTTGGCCGCTCTTCGCGCGAGCCTTCGCGGTGGCGCGTCCGCGGCGCTGCGCCATCCAGCGCCAGACAGGCATCGCAATTGCCGCCTCATGGGTTTTGCCAGCCGAGTTGCTGGTTGGTGGGTGTGAGGATGGCGCGAGCAGTGGGGCTGATAATTCACGAGTGATCTTTAGTTACCTAAAGGGATACTAGGATCGACCCCACTCCCCTGGAATCAACGGGACCCCTCTGCATAAGATTCTGCCCCATCGTCCATCCCCATCCCGAAACATGTAAACACACATGGTTTCGCAACAA